TTCGACCTAACTTGATTATGACATAATCCATCGGCTAAATACTGCATACCTTGTGAGTCAATTTCGTTAATTAGAAGATTTAAAGTAGTGATCGACTATACGCACATTTAACGCAATTTGTCGGCTGTTTAAAAGACGAAACTTACATGATTTTCCTTTAGGATCATCGACAAATATTTTGCATCATCAGCGACGAGCTCATTTTGTTGTAGATCCAAGCATGTGATTGTCTATATATCCAAACAAGAAATAGAAGGTAATCCAAATGGATTGAACCGCAGAGCTCTCACTGTGTTGTTCTTCAGTACACATGATAATCGTTGTAGTTTTGAACCATTGATATGCCTTTCACATAGATTCAAATCGGTGAGTGTCTATATCACATGTTTAGCGATTTACAACAAATAACAATCAACTCCACACTTACGACATACGGACGGTAATCATCGATGACTATATTGAATCGAGTGCACACATTTCGCAATGAAAGAAGAATGGTCAATATGTCAAGATGATCGAGAATACGGTAGATAATATCAATAGGTACCGTCAGAAACGAATACATGGCTGAAGACGTACTTTAGTGTGCGAAACAATTGATAGACGGAGTAATATATAAAACGTGTTCGTTGCAAGGTAAATATTAGTTGGTTTTTTCCTCGTTCTTTCTGTTGCCACATACGGACTGCAGGAAGAGAAAAAGGAATTGTTTTTCTCTTTCACACTTGGTAATTCGTCCAAAGTCATATTCGTACTTTTAAATGAGCAATTCAATATCCGTGCTCTTTAGAACGTATATTTTTTGTAACTTAGATAAATAGATAGTCAGATGTTTATTCAATCTGATCGTATTTCTATTAGGATTTCTTTATTGATAGAACTGTAGTAAGACACCGAAATAAAATATTTCAGACAAAGGAACACTCATATACAGACGATGAGTCTCGATCTTATGGTATTCCTACTGCAGTTAACAATAGTGGTACTTTATTAGATTTGAATATAGACGTGTATTTGTATAAATCAGTATAACTGTCTATTAGTGCCTTTCGTTTTAGTTGTAGTTTTATCAGCTACATCACCGAATATTCTGCGTGAATTACTATATAATGCCTCAGTAACAACAGCCAGTCTCGATGTTGTTAAACTGGATGTCTATCAACAAGAGAATCTCATGACAAAAAAAACATTATTCAGGATACGTACACATATCCAACTGATAATGATCAATTGGAATACAAGCTAGAAATCACAGTAAGCGATTTCAATATTTATTATGTCTTTGTGTATGCTCGAATAACATGTCCGTTTTTTTCTTATAGCCAAGGAGAAAACTCGACACCACTTGCTATTTTCAATTTTAATCATGGTGAAGGCATATCTATTTGAACTATAGACCCACGCTCTCATTGCCAAATACTCATCACATTACAAAACTACTCTTGTTTAATTCTTTCTATTAGTTTTCATCAATTCTGCTTCAAAACTATAGCGTTCAACAAAATTCAGTAAGCAAAGCCGCACGCACACACATCGATGAACACTTCGAATATACTGTCCTATTGAAATTGGATCATTTCAGACGGTGTCAGCGCAGAGTATTGTTATTTCTAATTTCGCACCACGATCCACATCCTACACATTAACTTATGCATTATTTTTGTTCATTTTTATAATATCTTCTTTCCAGTTCCCAATATAGTTGCCAATAATCATGATAACATGAGATGCAGCCAAAACCATCTCTAGCTGTCTCACGTCGTGAATTTGTATCACCAAAATCTCTGCGAATTCTCTGTGAAACATTCTGTTGAGTTGCCACATTGACAATTCTCCAAATCGAACCAATATTCTGTTCCTAAAAATGAGCGTGCTTGCAGTTTACTACTAGCAGTATATACCAATGCGACGTTTTCCAAATCATATTAAAGTCTATATGCACAATTATCTCACTTAGATTTACTATACTTCTATTTCAAATTTCTCCAAATAATACGTCGAAACTGCGAAGAATTTGAATAACAACTTGAGCAGTTCATGCTTTAAATATTTGATAACAAAACGGAGGAATGGGAGTTTCTCCTTGTCGAGATTTTTCCAAGTTGGAAGAAAAGGGAAAAGAAAAAAAATATCATCGAAACTTTCAGTGCTTCATGAACATGCCGCAACTACAAAAGATTTTTCTTTTTCGATTGGATATACCCATTCTCTCGAGAATGCTGAGATAGATATATTTCTCACAATGAATTTCTTTCTTTTGAACATGGTTACAAAAGCAAGCGAGTACGAAAATTACAATAAATGGTTATCTACAGGCGACCGTTGTTGCTAACGTTAATGAAGACAGCTATAGAAATATAGCTGTCGTGGACTCAACCATTGAGCGCCTAAATTTTTTTTACTTATTTGCAAGAATTTTTCAACATACGCTTGTCCTTGTTTATACCAATCGTTTTCAGTTGTAAACAACAAAATGCTCTCTCCTTCTACACTTATTTACCCCTTACATTGATTATATAACTGTGTGAGAGGAGAACGCAAAAGAACGATGACAAGGCACTTTTATGTTCGGTTAAATAGCGACGACAACCACAACATTACATATGCAAACAGCGTGCGAACAATATCATATTTCTAACTCGTTGATCGTTTTTTTCTTCTGATTTCTTATGGCATCAACACAACAACAACGCATTATTCTTGTTACGGGTGCTAATCGAGGTCTTGGTTTCGAAGTTGTAAAGAAACTTGTCAACCAATCGACTTCAAACAAGGATTTAATCTTACTTGGCACTCGTGATCTGAAACGTGGTCAAGATGCGATCAATCAATTGGGTTCACCGTCCAATGTGCACGCATTTCAATTGGACACATCATCATCCGATAGTATTGCACAGGCAGCAAATGTGATCAAGCAGAAATATGGAGGAAAACTAGATATTCTCATTAACAATGCTGGTATCGTATCGATGGAACAGACACTTGATGCTGCTCGTGAAGTTTTTGCTACTAATTATTATGGAGTAAAATTAATTAATCAACAGTTATCTCCATTGATTAGAGAAAATGGTCGTATAGTTAATGTGGCAAGTGAAGTAGGTGCTTGGACATTGTATGATGCATCAGTCGATCTTCAAAATAAATATACATCGTCATCGCTGACCGAAGAGCAACTTGATGCACTTGTCAAAGATTTCTTTTCTGCTGTTGAAACGAACCGTCTGGAAGAGATCGGTTATCGTAGTAAATTACCTTTTCAAGCATATGGCGTGTCAAAAGCAGCACTCATCGCTCTAACAAGAATAGAAGCTCGTTCATGGTCAGGTGCAAAAGGTGTCTTAGTGGTTGCAGTATGTCCAGGTTATTGTGNACTTGATGCACTTGTCAAAGATTTCTTTTCTGCTGTTGAAACGAACCGTCTGGAAGAGATCGGTTATCGTAGTAAATTACCTTTTCAAGCATATGGCGTGTCAAAAGCAGCACTCATCGCTCTAACAAGAATAGAAGCTCGTTCATGGTCAGGTGCAAAAGGTGTCTTAGTGGTTGCAGTATGTCCAGGTTATTGTGATACTGATATGAATAAAGGTAGACAAGGAGCACGTCCAGCTGCTATCGGTGCCGACTCTATTCTCCATGCAGCTTTGAGTCCTGCGAACGAATTAGAGAATGGGGCATTCTATCAAGATGGAAAGAAGCAAGCACAAGTTTTTCCATGTCCAATGGATCTCAGCAAAATGTCTCAACAGTAGGACAAATCGTAAACAAAACATTAATACTGTAGTGTGTGTATTTTCTTCATCTATAAAGTATTTAGTTAAAAGTCGACTCCCTCAAGTTCTTTTTTCTATCTAAATTTATGTCTACGCGCATTCAGCATATTGTACCACTAATGTTTTATTCAAAAATGTTCAAATGATTTTTCTTCTTTGAAGACAGAGTATGATATTTTATTTATCTCAATTATCCACACATTTACTTTATATTTATTTATTCGATAATTACATCAACTGATTCAGTTTTTTATCAAAATACCGAACAGAGTAGTTTTTACTTTGATAACTTGATATTTTATTATTATTTATCAGAACTGCAATTACACGGAACATGCTAATACTAAGAACTGATACCACTGAAACTTCTTTTACTGTCTTCACAAACATTTTCTATGTATACACTCTTGAGTAGTTCTATTTCGGAAGAAATGAAAACGAAGTATACGATTCTCCTTAGACTGAATTGTTATCGATAACTCATGTTTACATGTTGAAACTATCCTATGTATCTCTTAAATGTATAATAAAAGCCATTTCTGTCGCGTGCATGGTGTTTGAATGCGTTTACAGAAGAAAATTTTTTTAAGCGGGTATAACATTCTTGCCAGCTGTTGCCATTCTGAAAGAATGCGCCTATTTCAAGGAAACGAACACTAAGCATTGTTTTTCGCTTTCTTTCGTATCGAATGGCTGGTTCGACGTTTCTTAACCCTCAAATCAATTCTCGATGTCAATCATCAGTTCAAAAGGATCCACCATGTCGATTTTCTGATGAAAACAAACGGAAAAGTATTCTTATTTGGCTAGATGCATATTTTGATAAAAAAGAACCTGACTATCAAATCTCTCTCGAACAACTGCAGTATTTATCTAATGAAGTTTCTACGTTTAATAATCCAGACGAGTGTATCGACTCTTTAACCGAAATTAATGATAAAACAAGAAAGATTATCTTGATCATGGATGGCACATTTGCAAAGTCAATAGTGCCATTGATTGAAGATGTTCCTCAAATCGACTCGATTTTGGTATTTCGTAATGATGTACATCAATATGACCAATGGGCAAAAGATTATCCGAAAGTCAAAGGTGTGTTTGCAGGTATTCATTCATTGATAAAATGTCTTGAGCAAATTATCGATCCTGATTATTTTACAATGATTGATATTATTGGACCATCAAATATAAATTACAATTATTTAAATGCTTCATTCGTGTATTCTCAACTATTGAAAGAAGTTCTATTAGATATTCATACAGAGAAAGAAACTGATCGACGTTCATTTATTGAACATTATTATAAACCTCTTTCTGACAATACAATCATTGATCTATCGGGTATTGATTATAAAAAACATTCTCCGATTCATTGTTATTCTATTAATTCATCCGTATTCAACACAGTGAATCAAGCGCTGCGTACTGTAAATGTTGATTTACTTGTAAAAATGACCTTTTTTATTGGTGATCTTCACAAACAAATCAAAGAATTACATTCCAAGGTACCAATCAAAGACAAATTAGTCGTTTTTCGTGGTCAAGCGTAAGTGTCACATAACGATGAATTTTACATTTTGCCTTGTCCCTTTATTTCCTCTATAGTCTAACGAAAAGAGAATGTAAAAAACTTGAAACTAGCATTGGCGGTTTTATATCATTCAACTGTTTCCTATCGACAAGTACTAAACAAGACATTTCAAAAATGTTTGCCGAAAGTAATAGTTCCGCACAAGGTTGTAATGGTGTATTATTTGAAATTGAAATTGATCCTGAAATTTCATCGAGTCCATTTGCATCAATCAAAGAATATTCTCAATTTCCGGAAGAGCATGAAATTCTTTTTTCAACACATACAATCTTTCGTATAGATCGTGTGACTGTACAAAACGATGGTTTATATTATGTTCATCTAAGTTTAACAAACGGGAATCACGATAAAAATCTTTATGAATTACTTGCTTATCGAAGAAAAGAGATTGAAGGACAAACCTGCATACATCGTCTTGCTCAATTATTATATCGAATGGGTAAATTTCAGCATGCCAAACATTTCTTTCAGATATTACGTGGTACCACTTTCTCTTGGGATGAGATCTTTCAGCTTAGCCATTATATCGCTCGAATCGATTGTCAGATTGGTGATTTAAAACATGCTACAGCTCAGCAAGCCATAGCAATGCAATTTTATGCTGGTCGTAATCCCGCACTTACTGCTGATATCTATGTTGGCATGGCAGAAATCTTTTTACGAAGCGATATGCTCGAGGATAGTTTAGAATTATACAAGAGAGCGTACACAATCGCTGAACAATCACCAACAATTAACGATCACAGTAAAGTTTTATATCTCAATAATATTGGATTTGTGCTTAACCTACAAAAGAATTACGATCAAGCATTGGCCCATTTTGAAAAAGCACTAGATATTGCCGTCGTTCGATTTCCATCAACACATCCAGATATAGCTAATACTTACCAAAATATCGGATCACTTTACTTTGATAAACGCGATTTCAAGATGTCTATTGATTATTTAAAGAAATCATTCGATATTCAAGAAGTATCTTTGCCATCTGATCATCCATCAATGGGTTATATACATTATAATCTTTCGAAGGTGTATGTGGAACTTAATCAATGCGATGAGGCCATTCATCATAGTCAGTTGGCAATCGATATTTTGAAAAAGTCGTTTTCTGATGATCATCCAGAAATACGTAAAATTCAAGGGCATCACGATGCAGTATCTGTTGTTCAACGTTGGAAGCGTTCATCTGATACATCGCAACATCGAGCATTTGAACATCTTATAACCCAGTTGGTGATCAAGATGATGGAAGACGATCAATAAAAGCTGTTAAAGATTTTGTTTGAATATTGTATGTTGAATAAGTATTTTACTAAACTCTTAAGATTGATGACAGTTTGAGATACACATTATAACAGGAAGTACATCAAACACAATTCTGTTTTCTTTCTCCTAATCATATCGTCTTGGCACAGACATAATACTTTAACCATCTCCTCAACCCACCGAGGGCAAACAATGGATAATCCAATTCGAGAAAGAGCTTGAATATGTGCGATGTAACAATGAAACACGCACCATCACGGCTCACTCGAATACTGACTGAATGATATCCAGTTTTCACCTAAAGTTTATCACTGCTTTCCCGTTAGTCAAGCACCGGTACGCACAGATGTATCAGCTGTAGGTATGATAGAGATAAATAAAAACGGACATGCTATAGCAATCAAAACAACGTATATGCACGTGTGATCTTGATTTTTCTTTTTTTTCTACATTCAACTACAGATATGAGAGATATTTACTAAGTTAAGTTATTTTCTCATACTGAACAACACGATCATTTCCATGATCAGCGACATAAAGATTTCCTTCTGAATCAAACGCTAGACCATAAGGAGAATGTAGTTGATTTAACTGGCTTCCTTGACCTTTTCCACCGACCACAATGGATCCTTCTGCATCACCTTCACACCATCGCATTATTCGATGATTATCACTATCTGCCACATATATTTGTTTCCATTGGTCTACAAATAATCCTCGTGGAAAAGACAGTTGATTGAGATTGTCTCCTTTACCATTTCCACCAGCTACAAGATTTCCTTCTTGTGCATCCTTTTTCCATTTCATTACACGATGATTTTCACGATCTGATACGTATATCGATTGTTCACCATCAACAAAGATGAAAGAAGGA